GAGCAAAGGCAGATAATTTCTGCATACCATATTTTCTACTGAATTAATTTGGCACCATTCCCAGACCTTTTTTTATTACATTTCCACTTTTAATTAAGTAGTCAAACTTTACTGGAACACTCCGGTGCATAAAGCCAAGTTTTGTGAATATTAACAGAAAGAAGTTTGAATTCTGATGAATACTCATTTTTGTTGCAATCTCTTATGTGAGGTTTATCCAATCACTTACCATTAGACAGCTCTGCTCAGTGTGGTAAAAAGATGTACTCACAAAAAGCTTTGAGAAACAAAGACTTACAAAAGAGTCTGTAAATTGCTTTTAATAAAGCTGTAGAAATAAGACTGCCCACTAACCTTTTAACAGCAGAAAAAGATAACATAATTGAGGAAACAACTCAGACACAAGCTACACCATCATTTGCCATTTTCTAAAACATAGGTCTTCCTCATATGAAAGCATCATAAATTCTGGATTTTTGTTTTCTCTCACTTTCACAATCTACATTCAGCTTGAGGAGCCCTAAAAGAAGCCCGCACAACACGTAGCCACAGGCAACATACCGCCTTCAAAGCCAACAACCTGACATGCCAGCAGCCTGGGGAGGAGATCTGATGCTTGGCCACCTGGAGACAGTCACACAGAAGATACCCAGCTCCTGGTTGGACAGAGGGCAAACACCTACCACTGTCACATTCTACATCCATCTGCCCACAACACATCCAAATATCTCTCAAAATAAATAAGTTTGGAAAATGAACAAGGGTGTTGAAAGGGACACTGGAAAGTAGGAAAAAGGTAGGAAACATGGAACATGTGAGGAGTAGGTAAGGTGGGAGGTGAAAAGAGCAGATATCATTGCACTCTATGGGGTATCAGGGATATTACATTAGAGAAGGTGCTGATGGAGTGAAGATTTGAACATCCCCCACACACACTCGTATCAGATATCCCAGCTACTGACACAAACAGAACTGAGAAAAACAGAACATCATCTGGCTTTATTTTAAACTGCCCCTATAAAAAGTATGAGAAAACTTTCTCTGTAGCATGGCATCACAAGAGATGGGCAAGAAAGTCTAGCATCTCCATCTCACTTGGATTTCACAGTGCTTAACTCCAAAGTTCTCTAAACCTCAGTAAGTTTCACATTTTTTTCATGCAGCTTTTACTTCAGATATGGGTAGTCCTGGAGAGATCCACCCAGTTATGGCACCAGCAACCTGCAGACCTCAAATGCCTAACTAAGACCAATAAAGTCCATGAGTCACAGCCTCAGGGGAATCAAAGCTACTTGGCACATGCCCAGAGAAGGTCAATTGGAGCATGGGAGACTATTTCTAAATAACCCAGAGCTTTACCACTGGGAAAAATAAATAGAACTATGTATCCTGTTTCCACATCTTAGCTGGCTAAATAAATAGCTCTCATAGTGCATTCTCTAGGGCAGACTCTTAAAGTGACCTTGGTCCTGCTGCTGCCCAGGACAGGAGAGTGCGGGTGTACCCACGAGAGAAGTGGTGCATTTTCGATGCTGCATTCCTGGCAGCTAATCAAAGAATAAGAGTAATCTCAGCCCCCACAGTTGCCAGCTGTTCCTTCCCAGCAGCAAGGCAAACCATGGTGGCACGTAATTATGAAGTGGAGAGAAGGTATCAAGGGCAAATACAAAGGGAGGATCAGAGGTTTGCTGGGAGGACATTGGAGTTTTCCTCCACAGGCAGGTTACAAACTAGCATTCTCTTCAAGTTCCCTACTGATAGCCAAAGAGAAGTAGATGTTTCTGTTACCAACTATCTACACCAAAACAACCCACTTCAGATTTCAGCATAGCCACAGAAACTCTGGGAAGAGCTGCACTAATATGTCAGATGACCAGGAGCACATGCTGAACTAAACAAAGCACATGACTCCTTTTTATTCTTTCTCCCCATCTCAAAAAACCCATCCATAATCTTCCTCCCCCAGTCAGCCTATGAATTTTTAACTAGAGCAGCTCAAAAAATAGAAGGACATTTTCACATGTACCCACCTCCATTTTCCAGTGAACTGTAAAGATGCCTGGAATTTTCAGACCATAGCTATCCCAAGCATTTGCTAATGCTGGGAAAGAAGATCTGTAACCTACCCTACAGTCTGGACTTACGGTCTCAGGACCTAAATTCTTGTCAACATCTCTTAAATCCACTTATCCTCAGCAAGAACAGTGTTTCCAAATGGCCTGCAAGCAAGCACAACCCTTACTCAATAATAAGAAACTAATGCCTTTAAATAAGTTGCAAGCATTTTTTAAAACAAAACAGGTTTGTGTGCTTCTTCTGATGTAAAACAGATCGTCTCTACTGAGCCATTGACTTTCTCAGCTGCTCCTAGTTATTAAATGAAACAAGCAGCTTTGAGCCCTAGGCAGGCCAGCTGAGTGGCTACCAGGCTTCAGCTGATTTATGGTTCTTGCTCATTAAACCAAGCGTAGGTGGGAGCCAAATCATCTTTTTCTGTGAGCTAGGTCCCAAGAAAGATTTTATCCTCCATTTGCACACTCATACAAATATGTTTTAAGAAGAACACAAATATTTTAAGGAAAAAAAAGAAAGCATGAAACTGAACTAGCAATGAGGAAGCTCAGGTAGACAGCAATTAATGTATAAAATACCTTTTTTCAAAGGGAAAATAAATCCAGGCTTTTCAGCAATAAATAAATGGGTTACTAGCAATAAAACTGGAGTTTTATTGAGGGAAATTTTGAGTTTGCATTTTCTGTTTTGTGTGTGTGTCCCAAATGGAAAAAAAAAAAAAAAAGAAAAAAAAAAAAGGTCCATAGAACAGTTCAAAACAATTCTTGTACATCAGATAAAAGGAAGAAAAACCCAAATATTGCATGTTGACAATCTGGAATCATTGAAATCAAAAGCAGTGTGTTTCTCTAAAGGTGATTTCCTTCCCTTTCTGCTTAGAAGTGAGTATTCTAGACCATTTTACAGCCTACATTACAACAACCCTTAGCAGCACTAGCTGCTTCTCCAAATGGATCTCAGCAAAAAGCCAGGCTAGAAATGTGTGACAGATACCAAGTTTTACACTTCCCTCAGAGGAAACAGTGAAAGGAAAAAGAACAAAATTAATTTCAAATGCCTTCATGCAGCCAGTCCCATTGCTAAGCAGAGAGCTGATACAGGCCCAAGTCCCATGACACACAGATCCTGACCTATGGGGCTATCACAGAAGTAGAACTAACACTAGTCTAATCACAGCCAACACTTCCATAGGAAGGAAACCAGGGAATTGAGTGGAATTTGCTTACTTCGTTAAGCACAGGCATGGACCCATTAATCAGTTTTGGTTGCCTCAGATATCAAGCCCAGCTCTGGGTCTATCTCATCCTGGGCTCTCCTGTCATACATAAAGCAGTTCTCCAGGCTCCCTGAGTCTTAAAGATTAAAGTTGTAATATGAAGCCTGAGGGGAATCTTGGAGGATGCTCATGTGGCCTAGGAATACTATCCTAGCTACAATATTCTTTGAGTTGGGTAATATCCAAACCTCATACCTATTCAAACCATTTGAATAGACCACGTAAAGGAATCACAGGTAATATAGCTAAGAGAGAACTGAAGCTGTGAAGCAGTTCCAAGTACTTAGCAGTATGCTAGAAAGCCAAAAAAATGCAGGCAAAAGTGAGTTGGCTTCAATTAACAAGGCAGCTGCAGGAAGTTGTGCATCTGCTGGGCCCACTCTATCTTATTTAGCAAAGCAAAGTGTTCAATTATTTTTTTTTTTAATAGCCCCAGACATGTAGGCAGAAGAACTGGAAGAATGTTGCATGTAGCAAACAACAGTACCATGGGTTGACATGCAAGTTCATAACTTGTGGCTAGTGGAAATTAATTCAAATTCCTTCCCGTACAGTGTATTTTGTAACTGTCGATATTTGGAGAACTGGTATCAGTCTTTGATGGAAACAACAGGATGGACATTATTTACTGGTGCCCTCATCCAGAGTGACTGACCCCCACTTCAATCATGGCTAAGCAAGCAGTGGTCAAAATATTGTGCCATGTCTGACCATCCACTTCCCACCTACACTCCATCTAAAGCTACTTCCTCAGTAATCACCAATCATGAACTGCACCAATGTCAGGTCCATGTAGAAGCCAAAACTTACTGAATGTTGCCATGTTCTTGCTGAAATGTGCATGAACAAGTAGGGACTATGTGCTTCACAAGGCACTGCATGTCTAAGCAGGAGAACCAGCAGCTTCTGTTTTGCTTAAGTGAATGTGGTTGTATGGACGCAGGCCATAGTGGTAAATTCTTCCTCCTATTTGCAATGTGCAAGCCACAGAATTGTGTCACGTCCTTCTGTGGATGTTTTCCACATTACAAAGTTTGCCTTGAAAGGCATCTGAGGACATGGTCAGAATGGACAACTTGAGGAGTAATGTTCAGCATTAAGATGGAGATATAAAATGGACTTGCTGTCTTCAGAAAAAAACTATTTTAAATATTTGGGATGGTCTTAAAAACAGACATGGATTAATACTGGTTAGAACTGTCATACTTCAAAAATATCATGATGACCTGGTCACAACTGTCTGCAAAAGGAGGATGGGGCAGCACTGCCACGATTCCACCGTACCTGCCCTTTGGGCTGGTGGTGGCAGGAGGTTCCTGCTAAGGGGTAGGCAGGAGCGGTTTGTCTGCTGCCAGCACATGCTTCTCAAAATCCAGTCCTGACTGGAAAATGAAGGACGGTACCTTGCAATCAAACTGCCATCACTGTATAGGGTACACTACAAATAAATGGCCACCAGCATGAATCATATGATGAATCACAGCATTGACATGTCCTTCAGGGAACTATTTCTGCCTCTTAAAAAACCCTGCAGATTTAAAGTGAGTGGAAATTGTGCATCCATTGCTGATTTCTTTGCCTTTTCAAGTGGAACCAAAATTTTATTTCTTGCCATCCTGGAAAGATGAGTTCCCTTGGGGCTACTGCCTACCTGACTGTCCTGACGTGTTTCTTGCTGTAGGGGGTGATGACTTTGAAAAGCAGCTCCATGGCTCCATTGATGCCAAGTGTAGTTCCTGTGGTAACTGAACCAATAAAAGAGAAAAGCAGTCAGATCTGAAGCAGGCTGTCTGCAGGATTTGTGTTTAGAGGTGATGCAGGGAGTAGCTGCCCCTGGGGCTATGAGCAGCTTTCTCTGGGCTCCCAACTGGACTTCACAGGTCATTTTACAAACACAGAAACTGAAGCACAAAGCTGTCTGTAGGCACAACCTGAGCCAAGATCAGACACAAAACCAGATCTCAAATCTTGCACTTCTTCCCTGAGTTCCCCAAAGCCTCTTTTCCTGTAAATATTGTACTCTCCAGACAACAAATCATAGTTAAACAGGGTCATCTCCCAGCAAAACAACAGGCCTCAAATTCATCCCGCATTTCCCACAGGCAACTCCATGAGGATGGTTTATTTCACAGGGGCATGGAGGGCAGAGTTGTCTTTCTGTGCTATTATTCAGCAGTATGGAGGTGGTTTTTTTGTGGGAGGAGTGCTTCTCAATGAAGCTTAATTTCAGCTAGGCCACTTTTAATCTTTCACATCCTAACACACGGGGAACTTTTATAGATTTCACAATCAATACAAAAAATGCCCAATGTATAAACTTAAGTGCTTAGCCAGGCCTCTGTACTGTAAGACAGGTTTTCTGTGTAAAGAAGGGAGGAATACAGCCCTGAATTATTAAATGCAAGTGAACAGGGTGAAATGAAATGATCAGTAATCAAGAGCAGCCAGAGGGAGACCTGGCTGCCTGCCCACTGCTTGATTTTGTAAATATCTCCCAGTGGTTATCATAGACCTGTCAGAGGGCCCATCATCTCCTGCAGACCTACCATGTCCCCGCCAGGTTGTCTTATGATGGGAAAGCTTTGCAAGGCTTGCCAGCTGCTTTTACACTAGCTGGTAATTCATTAGAGACAGGGCGGTAGACAAAGCTGCTTGAAATCATCCTGTCCTAGAGCAGGACGTGGGCTGCCACACATAACTGGTGTCAGAGATTGTGAAGGGAGTGACCCAGAGTGAAGAACTGGTGTATGAGATTGTGACAAGGACTCATCTTTTCTGCTTTTATACCTAAAGCACTCTTGGAGTTTTACGTGCTTCTGGATCCTCTCTAGTTCCACTCCATAAAAATAATTTTAAAGGTTGGGAACATGAAATCTCCTAGTTTGGTACCACATCCACACCAACCTTCACCTAACCTCCTCTGCAGCTTCCCAACTGGGTGAGAATGCCCACAGAGTCAGTTACTCATGGAAGGAGAAAGCACATCTGGAGAGTGCTGGAGATACTTGGAGAGTATCCAAGGAGCAGAGTCAGGGTTCTGGGGTCTGACGTTAACAGAAAGGAGGTCAGGCTGCAGTGTGCATCCTCAAACTTCTGCAAAAACTGCAGCTGAATTGGGGTGCAGGTGCAATGAAGCAGGGAGCAGGGAAGGGGGTAGATCATCGTTTTGGTTGGGAGGCAGCACAGGGTCACTACACAGCTGTGAAACCCAAATAAAGGCACGTTTCAGCTTCTGGCCTTGGCTGCATTTTCAGTCACATTCAGCCTTTCAAATACTGCTTATCACAGGGAGAAGGGGTTGAATGTTGAGGTTTGGCTGCTTGCCTGAGAAAGTCCATTGCATGAAGCTAGCTCCTGTACAGATAGAAGAGACCTGCAGGGCTGGTCGCCAGGAGTGCTAAATCTGAGGATGCATATAGCAGACTGCAGACAGGATGGCTGTCAAGAATTATGTGCTGGGTGAGGGATGTGGGGAAAGAAAGGAAAGGGTCAGAGTGAGCAAGGGGAAATTTGTGCTGACAAACTCAGTGCTCTATAGCAGGGAAAGCTTATATGAATCTGTAATGATCCTCGGTGAGAATACTGGAAATCCCATTGCTTGAATCATTTAATATGAGGGCAGTGCCAAGCAAGAAAAGCTGGGAGAGTGCATGGGGGTGTGTGTGGGGGATTTATACTAGACAGAATCAGATCTATACCAGATCTAATATATACTTCCTGCAGAACCTTGAATAAGAACCTGATTTCTCTCTCCTTCTGTTTCTCCACCCTCACTTTCCTCCCTAGTGGAGCTGCTCTGAGGATCAATATAATCAACAATAGTGAGACATATGACTATTATGGTAATGGGAACTGCATAGAGATTTAAGGTACCTAAGTCTCAGAGCAAAGGAGTTGACTGTCTATATTCTAGAATAGAAGATCATTATAATGAATATTTTTCACTACAGTACTTTTATTTTCATAGTCTACAGATGAAATACACTGTAAAGGCTGTATAGGCCCCTTGGGAAACACCTCTTTCTATGCTTGCTCTGCCTTTTGTGCCTGATTCTGTATATTAATGGTGTGTGCAGGCAATAACCTTAATCAGGAATGGTATTTCTTTGCATTGAAATGACTGAAAAAAGAACTCTGGCAGCCGTCACGCAGAGGAAAGGAGGAAAATCCAGGCACTCACCATTAGAAGCACAAACCCGCAGGACCCAGAGGCAGTGGGTGAGGTGCAGGTGGTGACCCAGGTTTCTTCTTGCCAAGCTCAGTATTATATCAGTTGCTTCTGCTTTCTGCACTTTCAGTCCAAACTTCCTATCTGTAAAAAGCAAATAAGAATCAAAGTATTACAAAGACCAGGTCCCTGCAACAATGCTGATAAACATATTTGCACCAAATCTTATAAGTCAGGATCTCATGACAAAGACATTCAAATGTATCAATGAGCTAGATCACCATTATTCTCACTGAAAACAGGAAAGCATGGCATTTACCTAGAGTTACCATCTACAAACCATAGAATCATAGAAGAGTTTGGGTTGGAAGAGACCCTTAAAGGTCATCTAGTCCAACCCCTCTGCAATGAGCAGGGACATCTTGATCAGGTTGCTTAGAGCCCTGTCCAATCTGACTTTGAATATTTCCAGGGTTGGGGCTTCTACCACCTCTCTGGGCAACCTGTGCCAGTGTTTCACCACCCTCACTGTAAAAAAATTCTTCCTTATACCTAGCCTAAATCTACCTGTTGTGTGTTCTCTACCTGGCCAAACTGCAGACAAGTGGCACACCCCAAAAATAAACTCACATCTGTCTATCAGGGACTTCCTAGTGCTGATTATTGCTGGGGCTGTCTGTTAGTTTTGAGCCTCCCACCCAAGAAGTCCCCCATCACTCAGCAGTACCTCGTTGGCCAACCCTGGCCAGCAGCCGAAGCAGGGGCAGGAGGGTGCTGTGGTCGGGCGGCTCGGTCTGGGCAGCAGTGGCAAGAGCCTGCAGCAGTGCCTCACTTCCCCCTTTGCTGATCACATAGTGAATTCTCCGGCCGGTCCCTGGAGGCAAGAGGAGAGACTCTGCTCAGAGCATCCCTGACCCAGAGCCACAGCTATCGCAAACCCTCAGCCTGCATGGATCAGAGGAGCATGGATGCTCCTCTGGCCTCCTCTTGCTGCATTTTATTGCTATAAACCCAAGGGCACATGCACAATTGACCATGGCTCTCAGATGCCCTTGGCCTGGACACATGGCTAATGACTGCATGGTGAAACCTGCTGCCTCTTGCTCCAGCAGTCATTATCTTTACAAACCCACGTCCTGCAGAAGTTTTTCGTTGTGCAGTGAAATGTGTCAGAGAGGAATAAGCAGGAACACTAACAAGTTTCAAAGGAGCAGAAGGCTCAGTGATCTTCCCTTAGACACTGGAAATTAAACAAAGCAAAGGAGTAAAGCTGCAATGGGCTTCTGCCAAATGAAAAAGGAATCCTAGGGAAGCTTGGGAAACAGCTTTAAAACAAATCTAGGTCTCCAAATAAACCACACACTAGTCCTGTGAGCCCTACTGTGTCAACAAACATTGATCCACGGGTGACTTCAGCAGCAACTTCAGGCTCTGTGGTTGGTGGAAGTCGCACATTCAGCTCCAGGAGGGGAGACAGTACCTCCTATCCTCCACACAGGCAATCCTTCCGTCTAGCTGAGGAACAGCACTACAGGGCTTCCAAAGTGAGGCCCGGATGGCTGGGCAATGTCTGTGGTGGGGCTCCAATGAGCGGGGAACACAGAAGTCTCCAGCACCTGTCAGTGCAGCTCCCGCAGCCGAGCAGCTTGGTTGGGTTGAGAATTGTTTAGTAAATGACATTTTTGAGGTGGAGCAGGAAGGAAAAGAAACTTAATTACTTTTACAGATTTTTTGTCAATTCACATATTTTTTCATGTGCCTGGGACACATGCAGCAGGATGCCTTCCCTGCAGCCCCAAGGTGGAGGTGCCTTTTGGGGAGATGCTGAACTCTTTCCATTAGAGAGCCCCTGTGCTCTGGGAAGTCAGGCTCCTCTCCTTGTCCCACAGCCCTCTCTGCAAGAGCACTGCTGAACATTTCCAGTGGTTGTCTTCTAGGGATTATGAAATACCTTGAAACTCACTGACACCTTCTAAACTGAATACAATGGAGACTCCCCATGTTGTTTTTTGGTTTGTTTTTCCTCTTTAACTTACTGGAAAATCTCAGTTTTCCAAACACAAGAGTAAGGACTGCTGATCTATAGGTACTATTCACATTTTGGTCACCTTGCAAACAGCTGACTGAGTTTATGCAGGTATGAATTCCCTGATCTGTTTGAGGATCCCCTTTCTGCCCCTAGCCCACAGCTATTGCCCCAGAGCTTTGCTTCCTTACCCAGAGAGAGCAGGTCAGTGAGGACACTGAGAATATTCAGGATGACATCCCTGTCACAGGAGCTCTGAAATGGAAACACCAAATAGAGGGATCAGTTCAGAACAGTGAACTTCATGCTACACAGGGCTGCAGTGCCCCATGTGGTGCAGAGGCACTGAGATCCTTGTTTGGATATTGAGTACTTTTCATGCCATCTGGCCAGTGAATATGTGGAACCATATTGATAACACATTTTAAAAGGCTCTGACAGACATACTGTTCATACTACACAATATTTAGTACACAGTAACATTTCAGCAGAATTTACATCTAAATTCCAAATTACATCTCTCTTTTTTGGTTTGGTCTGGCTACCTCAAAGTTGAAAAAAATTTGTATCACACAGAAATGTTAAATGTAGGGTGGTTTCCCATGACAGCATCCCTTAATGCCAGCAGTTGAAAAATTATAACTTTGAATTATATTAATCTCATTTACAAGAAAATTCCCCTTGCAGCTACAACCACATGGAAGCCTAGAATTTGGGGAGCAGAAAGATGCCCTAAACTTATTTTTAATCAAGACCAAGTAAGCACCACATGTTGACACCACACATTCTGCTTTAGATTCACTAAAAATTTTTCACTAGAGGAAATAAGACATACTGTACTTGAGGAGAAGGAAACACATAACATCTACCATACATCTGTATGATACACTAGACCCCTTCTTTAATACTCCTCCAGCCAGGTTTCACTGCTGAGCCTGAAGAATTAATCACCAGTCTTTACTGCTGTATGAGTTCTAGATCTCTTAATTTCCATACAGATACAATACAACACAATACAATTTTCCAATATAATAGAAGACTTGCATTTGTGTAGCCTTGATCCTGAAGAACCTCAGGTGTTTCACGTAAACTATAATGGAATCACTTTATCTCCCATTAAATTATTGTGACAGGATAATACCTTACAAACATGTGGCTCCTATAGTTCTGAATGTTGAAGTGCTTCAGAAACTTAACATACAAGTATGTATTCTGGATATATGGGATCATTTTACCAGCCAAAAAGATTCAACCATTCTCTGACATATTTAACATTATGGAACTAAATATTTAAGGCTAGAAATTGAGAAGTAACACCTACCAAAAAGAAACTCTAGAAAAAAATAACAGGGAAATTTAATTCAGATCTGTAATAATGACTAGTAATGCAAACGGACTTTTTTCCCCAACTATTAAAGTCACCATACAAGTTGGCATGGTGCTGAGGATTGTGTAGGTAATTAGTGAGCTGCATATCATACCCCTTCCTTCTTTGCTGGAGGGTGCATACCCTTGCCTTGTTGGGGAGGGTATGCATTGAGTGAAACATGGGAATGAAGCAGGAAAAAGGTCAGTCTTCACAGTCAGAGCAGGTGATTGTCAGATGGGGAACTGGGTTTCCACCTCTGTTGCAGAATTCATATAGGATGCTCGACAGCTCCCTCCAACCAAACCTCCTTTGTATTGGCAAATTATATGTGCCATCTTCTGCATGCAATATCTACATTAGTGTTGATGTTTCCTAACTTCTGTTTAACTTTATATATGCTTAGAATTTTTTTTTAATTATAATAATCAACCAAAACAACCCCAAATATCTGAAAACCAGACTTCCCATCATACCAGTTTGCTACCAAACTAACTGTTCAATACACATTTCATGCTGGCATAAGTGAGCAACAGGGACAAGAGTATCAGCAGGGGAGTGAGACAAAAGAAGAAGATGTGGTCAGGGGAAGGGGAGGGAAGAAAGAAGAGTCAGGTCAGGATGAGAGATTGGAGCAAATAAGCAGAGAATAACTTATGAAACAGGGGACTCGGGGGAAGAGGGTCTGTGAACACTGCTGCCCTTCTAAAGACTCACTTTACTTTTGTTGGTAGCTAAAATCCACAGGAAAGTGCGTGTCTCATCCCCATCTCAGAGCTGGCTTGTGCCCAGAGAGAGAGTCTGCTGTTTCTGTTTGTCACTACATTAACTCAACAAGCAGAGATCTCTGCACTGAACATAAAAATTCAGCCTTTTTATGAACCATGTTGAAATCAAAAGGCCCAGTGTGATAGGATTACTGCTTCTTTCAGAGCCAAGACAAACAGAGTACATGGTTTTAATGAAATCCAGTAACTCTCGGTTCACCAAGTCTTGCCACCTCATCTTAGAGAAAGGGTCCAAATTCATGTTACTGGCTCAAGGGACCACACAGAGAGGAAAGTCTGCAGCAGGGTCAGAGCAGTTCTGAATACCATTGCTTCTAGGTAACACGTATAGTTTCAGTCATATTTTAATCTTGCTAACTCATGTCTTTGTTCATTAGTCCACAGCCCAGAGCTGTCTCATGCCTCCTAAAAACTTCAGAGCAAACAAAGAGCGATCACAGCTCTCTTCCCAAGAGTTTCTTAGCATTTTTTAGCATAGGGACTTAATAGTCGGGAGGAAGCTGTCAGGAGTGATGAGTGTCCACCAAATTTACTGACTCCAGGAAGAGTTACTGTTCTCAGCACCTTTTTAAATATCAGAGTTGCCTAAATCAGACTGTCCTCTGGTTTTGTCTTGCTCCCTCTCAGTATCCCTTTCCTCTGTAGGTGGATGGATTACACATTAAGGTTTCAGTAATGAAGTCTTCATTGATTTATGCTCCTATTACACTGACTTGTTTATTTTAACTGATTGGATTGTGGGTTTCCTAAGCCATTAACACAAATAGTGATGACATAAGATATCCTCTGACTTTCCATGTGCTTTATCCAGGGACTCAGGCAAACAAAGAACTTGAGGGGACATGAAAGATCAACCTTTAAAATGTGCAAATTAGAGCTGGGTGATATTGCCAAATATTTTACCAGGGTATTTACTCTTGATATTTTAACACTAAAACTCTGACTGCATTGGTGCCCCATTGTTCCCCTTCCTCCAGCACACTAGTGAGGGAATTGGATGACTTGTGTGTCTGCTGAAACAGTGGATAAAACCCTAGTCCCATTAAAAATTCTGACATATTTCCCACTAACTTTAGTGGCACCACTGAATAATACAGAATATTGCAGAAGAACACAGCTCCAATTTATAACAGCAAGACAACACAGAAAAACATTTCTAAAGTTGCTGTTGTCTTACAAGATGGCAACTTGCCTGTTGAAAAGAAACAGCTCAGATTTTTGACTAATTAGCTTGAGATTTTCAAAATAATCAAAGAAGTTTGGACACAGAAATCTATTAGAATTAATTTTTTAAATTAACACTCATACCAAACTGTTTGTGGATGAATTGCAAACAAATTCATTCATAAAAAATATCCGGTACATCTTTTTGAACAGTAAGTACAAATGAGAAAATCACAACTTGTGCTTGATCTAAAAAAAGATGAATAGAGTAATTTCTTTAATGCAAATTACTTACGCAGCTCTGGTTAAAATAAACACATTAGTTATTTTTATTGAAAGATATGTTTGATGGTTCAAGAACAAACCATAAGCAAAGACAGGAGAGAAGTAAAATTCCTAATGCTAAATATTTTCCATTCCTGCCAGCACTTATGAATGTTAGATACAACATCTATACGCGCACAGACTAATGAAGATGCATTCATGGTATATGGGTGGAATGAAAGCAGAGAAAAGTTCCCAGAGGCTCAAGTTAGATTACAAAATCACCAACCTCCTGCAGAATTTCACTAAAAGGATTCAGAGTTAGAGCCAAATTGTTACCTATTAACAACAGCCTGTAGCTGTCTTTCACGGCTTGCAGCTGGACAAAGGCTAAAGTAGTAAAAAAAACATCATTTAAAATATCAAGCATGGCTTTACTTTTTGGCTGGAGCCCCTGGTCTTAGCTTTACTTCAGCAAAGCCTGCTGTCTTTCTCACCCAACCCAGAGTATCAGAGGGCTGAGTTCAGATGCATTTAATCAGTTCTCAGCTGATAGTTCCTCTCTGAGCTTTTTCTGGGAATTAATCCCTGAAACACCAAGGCTTTGGTTAGCTTGGCTGAAGCTCCTCATAGATAAACAGCAGGAAGACAGAGAAAGCCAGGAATAAAAAAATACCCTAGTGCATAGTCATTGATACATTACAGGCAGCAAGTGATTAGTTAGTGACATTGGGTTTGGAGGACAACAGCTTGATCCCAAGATCCTTCTGACTGGTTGCTCAGGTTATTTTGCTGACCCACCACTGAGCAAGGATGGAGTTCCTGTCTCCTTGTCCAGCTTCTGGGAACATGCCAAGACAAGCTGTTATTTACTCAAGACAAGATTATAAAATTGCAACTAAACCACAGTAACAGGTAATCTTGTTTTGTCAGGGAAGTCTCCAGGAATGTTTTTTGCAGGCTATAAAAAGTCACCAGAGGTGGGTTTTTTCCAGTGCCACCTGAAGGACAGCAGCTATCAGACTTATAGCACTGGCTTAAAACAAAGACTTCCCATAAACTCAGTCTTTTGTGTAGCTCTTGGGCTTTCATGTCTTTTGTCCAAAAGCAAGTATTTCTCCAAACGAGACATGCAAGCTACTGAGAGTGTTTACTGTGAGTCTAAGTATTAATGCTGAAAAAAGGAAAATACTCAGAAAGAAATCAAACAGCATTAATTTGTGTGGCACGATATTTACTAAAAAATATTTTAACTGGGGAAAGAAATACAAAACTGTTGTTCCACTCACAAAAATAATAAATGCAAAATTAAAGAAGTCACTCCTGCAAGACAATGGATAACATGATTTCTAACAATACTCCTGTTAAATTAATTATTGGATATACTCTCATAAAGCTATATGACTGCTTAGAAAAAAACATACAAAACAAAATAAAACCTGCCTGTTTTTAAAGAAATCCTATTGCTGCACTGGGCTCACAAACTTCCAGACCTGTTTTTTTTAACAGAGACCAAGGAATAGGATGTCTAGTTCCAGGCTTTCTTTGTTTGTTTGTTTGTTTGTTTTTAAATAGCCTGTTTCTAAATAGGGAAGCAGGATTTGACATGTACAAAATACATCCTTCTTTCTTCTCTTACCCTTAATAAATTTGCTCACACAAATAGCAGCCGTCAGAAGTCTAACTGTCTGTGTAATGAGACTTGCATCTGCAAGTAAGATTTCTCACTCTCTGCAGTCAAAGCTTATTGAAGAGAAATCTTGGTGCAAAATTAATACCAGCTAAAATCAAGATTAGGCTGGGGGCCAAGCAACATTAGTCCTCTCTCTTAAGACCTCTAGAAACTACTGGGATGCTAATACCTGTATTAACGCTTAAATCAGAGACCCTCCCTTCTTGATGTTCTGCCACCAGCGAGGCAGAGGTGGGTACCAGACCCAACTGCTGGGGACAGCCGCTGGCAGTATGGATTTGCCAGCTGGATATCTTCTTCTGACAGCTGACTATCCAGTCTCACAGTAACCGTGAAGCCAGGTTCGGTGCCTTGCATCCTTTGCCTTGTCAGAGTAAATTGCTTTTTCTAATTTAAGAGGAGCTAAAAATTCACACTTAAATAAAAGAGCAAAACACCCTGGAGAGTTTTGTGTTTTGTGTGCTCCCATCTTCAGCTTCAGTATTCAGCTAGCTAACTGTGATTTCTTCTTGTTGGAAGGTTATTATCAACAGCATTGGACACATGGGGGTTTAGGAAAAAAAAAATAATCATTATTTCTGAGGAGAAAAAAAAGGTTCAGGGGGTCTCTGAAATTTCAAAAGACAACCTCAGAATAAGGGAGTATTCAAATTAAAGTGCTACAGCCTGAATTTTGTTATTACTGAAGCACTTTGTTACAATACTGCCATCATCCTTCTTCAGAAATATCCTGAGAAATCATAGTCCTGTTGCCCTTGTTCCCAAAATACCCATCCCACCATGCTCAGCACCACCACAGAGGTTGCCATCCTCCTAGGTAAACAATAAGTGCATTTCTGTGGCCAAATCTGGATTTCCTCTGCTGAGGAGACAGATAGGCCTGAGCAAGCCAAGAAACTCAAAGGAGAAGTGGAAAGGAAAGGGGCTATTTAAAGACTTAGAGAGGAGGACCTTGCTGCTTGGGTAGCGTCCTAAGTGACCTCTTTAATCCTGCAAGAAAGGCGTTCGCAGCTGCATGGGATCACGTAGCCCTCAAACTGTACACAGGGCAGCCAAGGGGCCTCCCAGAAGAAGACACGTGGTGTGACAAGTTCTTGCTCCTGTTCCCAAGCCTTAGAGGTGAGTCCCTCTCGCTGGCTCCTGTGCGCCTCTGTGAGGCATAGCCAGCACCCTCTTTACCCACACACCAGCCATTGTCATTCCTACTGATGCTGAACATCAAGCCAAGCTCTATGCATCAGCCCAAAGCAGCAGTTGTGGATTTTATACCAGAGAATATAGCAAATACTCATTAAAAAAGTCCCTCTCTCTGGCCTGCTGCAATCAGGTGGGTAGCTTTTTTCATGGCCTGCAGTGACCTGAAGGTATGTTTTTTCTCATCCTTGTTTGCACTTGTGTGTGATAACCTGTAACATTTTTTTCAGTAACACACCATATCACTGCTGGGTGTAATGATTACATACCCTTCACAATGGATGGTGGCTCATCCAGGTGACTGGGCAGAACTTGTGCCTCAAAGCCAACTTCTAACATGCTATTGTACAGGGCTTTTCTCTTCTTCATTGAGCCTAAGGGCTTCTTCTTGAAGGATATATGTTAATCTCTGTGGGACTGAAATGCTTCAAGACAGAGATGGGCAAATTCCAAACTTATATCTGAATGTCTTCAAAACACTGAAGGTGTCGAGACGTAACAGCTTGGCCTGAGCTGATCTCTAGCCAAAATAACTTGGTGAATAACATGGTGGAAATCATCTGTGCCAAGGAATCTTACTATATTTAATGCAATAAATTGCACTAACATAACACCTTTCATCACAGGATCACAGATTTCTTCACAAATATTAATTAACACCTGCCCCACCGCATCCCTCATCAAGAAGATCAAATTTATTGTCCCTTGTTTTTCTAGTGGGAAATGTGGTGGGAAATGCACTTTGTTAAGATGTAAGAGGAGCGATGGCAGAGCCCAGATAGCTATTCCAATAAAATGAAGCAGAAACACTGTCTGCACAGAAGTATTGTAGCTCCCAGTCACACACGTACTCCCGTTTGTTTGTGAGGGGTTCAAAGATTTCCTTCCCTGAGATTGGATTTCTCCTCTCAACATCCCAGGAATAAGTGCAGCAGAAAAGACCTATCCTCTGCAAAGAATCCTGCTGCCAGGCTGGGAGAAGAAAAAGCTACTCACCATCAGTGGGTCCTAGCCCTTCTTACAAAGTGATTCATCATTGTGTCCAAGGACGAGGGAGATGCTGCATTTAGTTCATCCATACAGGAATTAAGAAGTGTATAGTCCATGACCTGATCCATTTCCAAAGGATGTTCTACCTGCTGTGTCACAAAGACTCCAAAGTTTTTCACCTAACTTCAGAGCAAGGTTGTTCATCACGTCTGTGCCACACCATTAGTGTGTCACACTAATAAAATGTATTCACATCCAGATATCTGAAGCAATTATGCTCCAATAGACTGCAATGTCTTGGATACTGTTGGCAAAGTAAATTGCTTTTTCCTTTCTTTTTTTCTCTTTTCATGCCAAAGATGTCTCTGTGTTCTCAAAGAAAAGGTTGTCCTTGTGCAGAAGCTTCTCCTGATACAAAGTTTCATTGTGCCACTTGCTCCTCTCACTAATGCATCTCTAATAGAGCAATTACTTTATTATGCAGAACTGGTGGTAAAACACATTATTATATAACCTTAAAATGCTTCTGTCAAATTGGAAGTGTTAAAAGAATGAGGAAACTTTGAGATAAATCAAAACACGTGATATTCTGCAAAAGGCTTTTAGACTTTCCTTTGAATGTTTCTAATGTTCTTTCTGCAATTTCTACTGCAGATATATCCTCTCAGGTTTCATCTCTTATTTCACAATAAGTTACCTATGACACCTAAAGATTTTGACTGTATTTAATATTATATCATTCACTTTTTTCCTTTTTTAAATCTATTTTTATTTTAATGCCAAAATTACCCTAGCATATGTCTTTCACACTCTCTTCATGAGTTTCTATAAGGCATTAACCATACTTGCACAGTGATCTCTGTATGCATGTTAGCACCTACTGTTTATTGCTGTTCCTTGGTTTTGTTCCTATATTTCATATTACTTTAGCTGTTACTGAACTATTTTAAAATATTAATTTTTCATTCAAATGCCACTCCGTTACAGCTACTTAACACAATTGCCATCCAAACTTAATAGGGAGGGATCTGTTATTTTCATTCAGCTGTAGTTTTCTTTTCCACTACTAATGACCAAAGAGCAGCGTGAAACATGCTACTGTCTTTCTCTGTGAGATTTTATGGGTGTCAGTTGAGAGAAGACTCAGCCTTTCAAAGAAGAAGCACATTTGGGAATTAGAAACCTTTTTTTCAAGCAATGACATTTCTCAAAGTACAAGTGAGTCTGGAAGATTCTTGGAAAAATTACAGTTGTACTTGCTTTTTAATAAAACCACTATAGAAAATGTGAGTATGTGCATGTGGAAGTAAATAGCCATAATGAAGATGCTGCTGTCCTTGCCTTCTCTGTGATGTTCCTGCTTGGGCGAGGAATGATAAAGCCACAAGAACCCCTATGTCTACTCTCAGTCTGCCCTGGCACTTGCCTAGGATAACGCTATGTTCAGACTGTGCTTCTCTCTGTATTCCAGTGCTAGCACTCCCATTTACTACCCATTAGTCTGACAACAACTTGTACAGGCTAAAGAAAAGGTTCACTATAAGGTACATTCTGGTTTAGAAAAACACCAGTCCTTTCTTTTGCCAAGATAAGTGTCCTTATGTGTCAATCTACCCCACTTTCAAAAGTACTTTCTGGAACAGCAATGAAAATGCCTTTAATCAATCAACACTTAATAATGATGTTTGAGGTATGGGTAGTAGAGCCCAACCTCTAATAACTATTGTTAGTCACAGCTTATTTTCTTAAGAGACAGAACCTGAAAGTGAAAATGATGAACCTATTTTTCCCATCCAGTCTAAGTGAAAAATCAAACAACGAACGAAACTCGGCATCCATAATGAATAGCAAACTCTGTTTCGAAATTCTAATGATTCAAGGTATTATTACTAGTAATGTAAAGCAGAACATCTGTCTAACTGCATTGCTGAGACCCATCTGTCTAGATTTAAACAGCAATCTCTTAAAAGCAAAGCCTTCAGTTCTCTGAAAAGGCTGCCAAGTTTTTAAAAGGTATGACAGGGGTTTGTCATTTTACGTCCAGAAGGTAACAAAGCTTTTTATTACCTTTAGTCTAGACCCTGTGCAAGACACCCAGCAGCAGCAAGCCCATGCCATCATGTTAAAGACATGTTTAGGGCTTTATACAAGCCCTTGGTACTTCAGTGCAGTAGCTCAGAAGCATTTGTAAACTAAGTGTTGGTCAGTCAAGCTAAAAGGCATTTTATTAGCTCAGTGAATGAGTCCACTGCTGCATTTGTACTCCAGGAAAATGTGACAGGAGTTAAATTTAAAAATACGAGCTCTCTGTCCTCTCAGAGGCTCCTGAGCTGAGATTCAGGCTAATGTAGATCAGGGACATTACAAAGTGAGAGATGAATGAGAGCTTTTACTCCTACTGGTGCCTTTCTCTCTGCAGCAAGACTGCGGTGCTTCTTCAGTGGAGCAAACTTCAACAATTGGTGTGCCCATGTATGTATGAGGGGCAGCACTGACCCATCACATCCTGACACAGGAGGTAAGGAGCATGGTGTCCCCTGATGTGCCATCCTCTACACGCTTTTTAACTTCACTCTACTGTGATCCTCTGTGGACTTCACCGAACCAAACTCCATGGGCTGTCTCTCCTGAGACATTCTCACATGGGAACAGGCTGAACACGTATTGGCATGTGACTCTTGTGAAAAGAGGGGACCTTTGGCAGGAGCCATGTGTTCTGCTGCTGGCACAGCAATGGGTAGGGACCTCTGATCTCTTCATAGACCTGCACATGTCTCACTGAGATCTGAGCAAATACAGTATTCGTGTCACAGTGGACTCATCTTTGAGATGTGAATTCTTCAGTGAATACCCAGTGGAGATTTGTTCTATGTCAGAGTCTACCTCCAATGCCTGTATCCATTGGCAGCATGGTGAGACCACCAAAAAGTTGGTGTAATAGTGCTTTACAGGCTTTGATGGGACATAGTGGGAGAACTCAGCTAGGAAGATTTTCATCTGTATGATCAGCCAGACACTCAGACAACCACCTTTTAGACAAAACCCTCCAGAGTCTGCAGTCAGTGAGATACAGCCGCTGCTGCAGGAGCTTTTGAAACAGACCGCTAATAGGCATGGTTTTCATCTCAGAGAGCAAGTCATTTTAATGCATCTCTGCTTCCAGCTGTCCCCTTGAAATCCCTGTGCATTATGGGGAGATCAAATGACCTTAGCCCTATTGGAAGAGAGTTTTCAAAGAAAAACAGAGCCAGACATACATTCTCTTTCTCATTTGTCATCTCTAGCTCTCTTCTCGATTGCAGAACTTTATCATGGGGTAAGAGGACACTTAAATACAGATTTTCCCAAAGAGGAGGCCAGTTACATCAGGGCAGTAGTGGTGCTTTCCCCTAGCCTCTCCAGAAACTGTCTCCATGTGGATGGCACTGGTTTATTCCTGGAGAAATGGAGGGTCAAAAGAGGCAGTTCAGTTTGTTCCTCTGACTTCATCAGATCAGCATTTTAATCATAGGGAAAGGTCAGGTGAACCATTCTCCCTCCTCGCCTCCTTTGGTGTGCAGACAGGTGGGCATTCACCATGCCAAGCAAACTGCTTATGGACGGATCTCTTTCTCTCCCTGTCACGCTCCTGCTTGCCAGGTCAATCCTGAATTAAATGGAGTGCCATCCTTATCTTCACTGTAAATCTGCTGCTTTGGCCTTTCA